ATGATATGATATAAAAACTATAATATCATATTATTGAAATTTCCAGAAAAATATGATTAAAGAAAAAATTGTCAAATTTATAAATAAAAAGTGAAGCGAAATTTTTAAAAAATCATATCTCCTGTGGTTTTAATAATCTTGGTATGATACGTATGTTAAATTGAAGCTTAAAGATTCTAATTTATGATATGATATAAAAACTATTATATCATATTATTGAAATTTCCAGAAAAACATAATTAAAGAAGAAATTGTCAAACTTATTAATCAAAAATATAGCGAAATTTTCAAAAAATCATATTGACCGTATTTTTAAGAATTTCGATATGATATGTATGTTAAATTGAAGGTTAAAGATTCTAGTTTACGATATGATATAAAAATTATAATATCATATTATTGAAATTACCAGAAAAATATGATTAAAGAAAAAATTATCAAATTTATAAATAAAAAGTGAAGCGAAATTTTCAAAAAATCATATCTCCTGTGGTTTTAAAAATCTTGGTATGATATGTATGTTAAATTGAAGCTTAAAGATTCTAATTTATGATATGATATAAAAACTATTATATCATATTATTGAAATTTCCAAAAAAACATGATTAAAGAAGAAATTGTCAAACTTATTAATCAAAAATAAAGCGAAATTTTCAAAAAATCGTATCGATCGTATTTTTAAGAATTTTGATATGATATGTATGTTAAATTGAAGCTTAAAGATTCTAGTTTACGATATGATATAAAAACTATATGATAATGTTATTGAAATTTCCAGAAAAAAATTAATCACAACAAAATGAAGAAGGAGTGAAAAAGAAAGTATTTTCCATATAAAAATTTCAATTTCATATTAACACACCTGGTATATCATAATCATTTATAACAACCATTATTGTAGTTAGATTAGAAAAATGCATGATTCTTTAAACTTGTTTAATATTAAATTTTTCTATAAAACGTTGTTTATAATTTATAGTTTTTAATTTTTAAAAGGAAAAAGAAGATGGTCCATTAAGTAAATTCTGCCAAGAAATCTTCCATTCGGAAGTGTTAGGGAAAGAGTTCATGAACGTAATCGAACGTTCGAAACAAATAACGTTATTCGCGCCGACAAACGCCGCTTGGGATGAAAGCAATCTTCAAAATCTTCTTAAGGAAGGATCTAAAATTAAAGATGTCTTAACGATGCATCTAATTCCCGACGAGGCCGTTTACATCGATCGAATCGCCAATAAAGAAGTCGTTCAAAAGGGCACTTATAACAGCAAGAAGAACTTATTCTTTTCCGTTAATCAAAATAATCATAATCGTACGTTTATGGTTGAAGGCGGTGGTGTTATGGCCAATATCGTCCAACCAGACATCGCGGCCAGTAACGGTGTTATTCATGTTATCGATAGGGTTTTAGGGTTCCCTTACACCACGATTTTTGATAAATTAAAATACGACTCTACTTTAAAGTAAGAAAAATTAACTTTTAATAAATAAATAATTAAAAAATCTTTTTCAGCGATACTTATGTGTTGGGTGCAAGAACTCGAGTTAACGAATTATTAAATGATACTTCAAGAAAATTTACTTATTTCGTTCCAAGTGCTAAAGCTTGGAATCAAGCTCGATTAGATTTACCATCGGCGATAAAAAAAGTTTTTATGCACGAATATATTTATCAGGTTAAATAATTGTTTTTTCTTTAAAATATATTTATTGATTTATTGCTTTTTATAGGCCGAACAAATTTTAGAACGCCATTTAGTCGTTGATGAAGAATCTTATACGATGCAAAAATTAAAATTGATGGGAAATCAAACGAAAGGGGTCGATTTAAAAACGATTCGAGATAACATCACAATTTCAGTTGAAGAACAAAACAATAACAGTAAGTTAGTTATTCTTTATAAGTAATTAATTAATTAATTTGATAATTTAGGTTTTATAATTCATTGGCAAGGAAAGAAGATCCAAGTTTTTCGACCAAATATTGAATGTACGAACGGAATAATTCACGTAATTGATTATCCATTCATTGATAAAGGGGATATTGTTGTTTCTAGTATATCCCCCCTTTCAATAACACCACACCTTTTAACCCTAATAGTAGCGAAGTATTTGCTACTCTAATAAAATAATGAAAGGGTAAAACTTAAAATTTTCTGTCATTCCCGCTCTGCGACGAGAGCTTTTTAGTCAATTTTCCCTTACATCCTTTCAAAAGGTTTAGAAAAAGACAATATTTTTTAATCCCCTTAAAAAGAAAAAGACTAGAAAAATTTTAAATTCGCTATACTTTTTAATGTTGTGTTAAAAGGGGAGTTATTGCGAAATAATCAAACGTTTCGATTAAAATAATTAAAAAAAAACTTGACTGACTGTTAGTATCTTTTAGAATTTATCCCTTTTCCTCCAAAAAAGAAGAAAGCTATTTATCAAAATATATTACGGAAGAGAGAAAAAAATAAAAAGAAAAATATAATTTGTTCATATCTAAAAAAATGCTAATATATTTATGGTGTATTTATTCTAATTCTAAAGCGAAATAACAATACGAGTCTATTGCGTGGTGTTTTTTGTAAATATAGGAANCAGTTACTGTGTTTTTAAAAATCTTGGTATATGTATGCTATATCATAAACTATATCATAATATTATTGAAATTATCAAAATTATAAATAAAAATGAAGCGAAATTTTCAAAAAATCATTTCTACTGTTTTTAAAAATGTTAGTATGATATGTATACAGAGTTGCCATAAAAAATCGTGAGATGTTGAGATTTATTTAAAAATCACTCAATTTTAATAGTATGTGTTACATGTAGGCATAAGATTCAAGTAAAATAGTTTAGACAACGTTTGTGTATAAAAGTGATATAATTAAAAGGAAATAAGATATTAGTTTATGTTAAAGTAATTTCTTAGCGCCATCTAGCGGCGAATAAATGCAACTAATAGAGAAATTTACAGTAACCTACAATTCGAATTGAAAATGTTATGATTTTACTTTGATTTAATTAACATTAATTATTATATTATTTTTGTAATAAAATCGTGAGAAGTACCTGGCAACCTTGTATGTATTGTGCTGTATTACTTGTATGATGTTTTATACACAAGTTATTAATCTATAAATTTCGGTTTCTTTAATTTTAAGAGACTCTTATTAAAAACTCAGGGTTTCGGGCAAGTTCAGG